CGCCCCTGCAAGATGGAGAAGAACTATTCATTTAATTTCTCTGGGCTTTGAGGTTACTATTTTTTTGCCATGAACAAAACCAGATTTTCCTAAGTTTTGCCAGACTGAAACACCAGCAGCGAATGTCTCCGAAATGGATTCAGCCAGATTTTCTCGAAAATCCATCCCGTGTTAGCACAAACCCATGTCATCTGTCAGGCACTGGGTGCCATGCTTGGTAAAAGCATGCCTTTCCCCTTGACCTGCCACTATTAGTTTTTTGCTTTCCAAAAATGTTATGGTTCCATAGTTCCCCTTCAGTCTCCTTTTCCTAGGAAAGTGATTTTAACCTTTCAGTACAGATTCAGCAAGCTAGTCCTTTCTTGTGTTGATTTTAAATGATTGGCTTTTGCCAGGAGAAGGAACGATAAGATATGATATTTGTTTAATATGGCTGTTATTGCTGCTGCTGCTGCTAAAAATAATACACGGTCTTCTGTTGGTTTGATTTGCAAGATCTGCTCTCAACAGGACAATTAACAATATTAGTTCTGACGTTTAAAAGCCTTGAGTCTTTGGCTGCAGTTCATTTGAAGGACTTGCTTCTATCCAATAGATTAGTTGGAGATTTGGAGTTGCTGATGTGAGAACTCCGTGGGCAGGGTGGGGACAGATGTCAAAAAAGTCAACATGGTGGCTGCAACTGTGTGAGCAAAACTCCACCCCTTTTAGCATGTAGAAAAGTTGGGGCTGCCATCTTGATGTTTTTGACCCCTGCAGTTGCCCATTTTTAGTGGCAATCCCATATCTGTGGATCTCCCATTATACACATACAATATAGTGCGGTGACCATATTTTCTTGGAAAAAAATAAAGGACAAACCTGAAAAAAGGGGGCAAATCTGAAAGACGTTCATAAGGATTAAAAAAAATGTAATTGTTTCTGTTTATTGCTTTGCTTTACAAAGGAAAATTCCAGAGCAAAACCAAGAAAAAACTTTACAAAAACGCATATTCCAATAAAAATCTCTAAAATCAGAGTTAAAAAGAGAATTCGATTTCCATTCTTTTCCCATGAACGTGAAAGACTCTGCATTAAGTGGTTCCATTTGTATGGTAAAAATGAAATGTCCAAAATAAAGGACAAAAGTGAAAAATTAATAAATAAATCTAAAGGACAGCTGTCTGAAATAAAGGACTGTGCTTTATAATAAGGGATGTATGGTCACTGTAGCACATAGTCATGTTTTAAGCAGAGGTTAACAGTTTTCCACTTTTTTTTTTTTTTTTTTACTGATGTCTGCAAGTTCAGGATTTTAGCGGCAGCTAAATATCTTTTACTTCTTGTTTGAGTAAACCTTATACTCCTTATTTTTGTTCATATTCTATCCTTTGCTGGCCATTAGCCTTGCAGCGGCTTACCTAGAAGGCAAGGTACAAATATCTGTAAACATTTAACAATGGTATTAGTAGATTTACTGTAAGGTGGATCACAAAGAAGATTTCTTCCCAGTCCTGCGGCAGCCCTAAGATGATCTAATGTGGAAGAAGCATGACATGCCTCGGGTACGACAATACACAACCTTGCTGGAATGAATGGATGGAAAGAACTGTTTCAGTCATAGATGAATTAGGTAATTAGAGGCCAATTATTACGCTGTTGCGGCAACGGGCTACTGCAGTGTGTCTCAACCTCAGCAACTTTAAGATGGGCGGACTTCAACTCCCAGAATTCCCCAGCCAGCAT